AGCTCAAAACAACTTATATGGAGGTGCATTCTGTTGGAAGAAGTAATGAAAGGGCAAAGATGAATGTAGAAAAATAATTACGATTCATCAAAGAAGTAATCGAAAACAGCGGGTAATGAGAAGAATTCAAAGAAGAACTACAATAAGGTTTGTTATATATGTGGTCTTAAAAATCACAAATTTGTAGAATATAAGTAWAAACAATATCGTTGTAAAAGTTGTAATACAATAGGTAGGTCATTTGGCAAAAGTTTGCAAAACAGTTAAAAATCATTTCGTCATTCAAATTGAGGAAAATAAAGTGTTGGAGATATTTGAAGTGAAGGTAAAAAGTGAGAATAACTGCAATGTAAATCCTATAATGATAGTAGTAGAAATAGAAAATACATATTTTATTAAAATGGTGGTGGAGTCAGGTGTAGGAATTTCAGTTTTACCTGAAGAAATTGTAAAAGATAAGCTACCTCATGTGCAGGTTAATCCTACTATTTTAAAGTTAAAGACGTATTATGGTTCGATTATTAAACCAACAGGTGAAGTTGAAGTTAAATTAAAGTATGGTGAAAGGGAATACGTTGGTAAATTAGTAGTGGTAAAGGAAAAACATAGAGTTTTGATAGGTAGGTATTTAATGAATGATTTAATTTAGCTGAAATGAAAACAATGACTAGTAAATCTGTGATATAACAATTGAGAGAGGTTTTTGCCAAGTTTGGGATACCAAAATAAAATTGTGTCATGTAGGTAACGAGCCTCAATTTAGATTTGATGAGTTTGCTAGGTATATATGAACATAATATATTAGTATTATATTACTAATTTGTCATTGATAAAAGTGCAGTTGTTAAAGCGAGTCATAATATTAAATGTTGTCATAAAAATTATAAGAACAATTAAAACATTTAAAACAATTTTGTTTTTTTTTTTATTAATACTATAGTTGTCTGCAAAATGTATTTGTATTTTATAGATTTTGTACCTTCGTATTTACCTATTGATGCTCGCAATATATTATGGCACCATAAATTATACCCATGAGTTGGCCTTGGTGATGCTTTTAAAATATTAAATTTAAATGTTTCATTTAAAATTAAACGCAGACTTCCAACTATATTAGACGGCGTACTAATATTTAGTATGTACAATTTAATTAACATGGTTATTATCGTATTTGTTATCGGATGGCAACGACGCGACCAAAAATAACTAAAAGTTAAAGATTTTTTTCTTCTGGGAAAGGAATCGAGATCGAGACCCCGCCATCTCCTTAAAATACGCCACTTAATACATCAATTCTCTCCCGTAAACTACCACGCACAAACCTCCAACGCATTACAAAATTATTTAAATTAAATTWAAAAATGGTTATCTACATGGAGTTTAAAAACAAAATAGTTTACTGCATCTTCATCCAGTGGTGTATTCGTCTTTTTTGAAGAGATAGAGAGTAGAGAGATATGTCATTATTGACTAACCTCAGACCACGTTATGTAGCAGTAAATATACTTTTATTGTTTTATCATTTATTTATTATCACAAAAATAAGCCAAATGGGTGGTGGTATGCCCCCCATGAGCACATAACTGTCACTTTCGATCAATCCTCAATTCAAGATGTCGGTTCACACAAAAAATATTGTCACTTAGTAGATCTAATATGGTTTGTGCTATTCACATTTGGGGCTGCGCCAGACCTTCACAATCTCGTACCATACAAAATTTTAAATTAATTATAGCTCATACTTCTGCACCCTAGTAGATATCCAACGACACACTTCACAATGATTTATAAATTGAAACAGTGTGTCAATTAGGTAACAAATATTACTTTAGACTTCAATCCAAACTACCAACCCATACAAAACCTTTAATTTCCTTACTCTTTTGTAAATTCAATAATGTAACATCTGAAACGTCAATAGTTTATGTACGTGTAATACTTCAAAGTTCAAATACATTATACATACATTATACATATAACAAATAACAATTTGTAATAATTAGATAGGTACTATCAAGTTGGATTCTATCACCTTGTGGCCCAGATGTCCTCATCATAGTAATTGTACACATTCAATTATTATATTTTAGATTCTGAACGAAGTGATGAATGCTCGTATTGATTTTACAATGATGTGAGTGTTTTTTTTTGTGTCTGTGTATAGCATAACTAGTCGAAATAATGCTTCAATTTCAAACGTTGGGGGTGGTTTGTGATGTAAAAGTGAATATCCTTAGTGCATTACAGACGTCAACAGTTAACATTATCCAATAGTTTTCAAAAATATCGAGAAAAACAAAAAAAAAATGACAGAAAAACGGGAATTTTTACGCAAAACCAGTTTTCGACCTAATCGATTTTTTTATATGGTTGTAATTTTATTCAAAAACTAATCACTGTAAATACTTGAAATTTTCACAAAATGTTCATGTTAGTGTTATCTATATACAGTTAAATTTCAAAAACGTTTGACTTTTTTTGAGTTATTTATAGACCGCTGAAATTTTCGATTTTTATAAGAATTTTTTTTTGAAGTGTCGGTAAAAAAATTTTAGATGGCCAAAAAAACTTGAAAATTTAATACAAGGTTCAAGTGATTGAAAAATTATAAGAATACATAGGGACAATTTTTTTTTATAAGCGTTTATAGTTCAAATTTTTACGAAATCTGTCGAAAACGCGAAAATTTG